CGACAAAACCAACATAGTCATGATAGTGGGTTTGCAACCAACATGGATCCAGACCAGCCTGCGCATCCGCGCAGTCTGATCAGGATCCATGCTGTTCGCTTACCAACTTTATAACAAGTAGAGAAACTGATAGCGAACAGCATGGATCCTGATCAGACTGCGCGAGCTGGTCTGGATCCATGCTGGTCGCAAACGCACAATGTTAGTTTTGTCGTGACACGGTTCATATGAAGTGTTCGGGCAATAGGAATCGATGACGTTGATAAAGTAGACTTTGACATGCAGGTAACGACAGAGTGACCAAACGTTGACGTTGATGTGACCAATTTTGGGACCAAACATTTTCATTATTTACAAACAGACATATTCATAATATTTTTGAACAAAAATATTAATTTGCAAGACATGTGTTATTTAGAAATACTTGGCAAATAGATAAATCTAGTGATTTTAATTAAAAAACTTATGCATATTAGTATTATGAAAAAAGTGAGGTCTAAATGAGCCCTGGGTACTATTAAGTCCCCTATCACGCACGACCAGATTATTATATTCCTGTGCTTCGCTCATGCATAGCATATGTAATGAGAGTAATGATCGGGCGGTAATGATATGTACTTTTTATTTTTATTTTAATATTCAGTTTATATTCAGTACTTTTGTGAACTATAATGCACAAATACGTATGAAGAGCTTTCCCATCTGTCTCTACAATGGTCGTGCTGGAGTTAGTCGCTTTTTGTGACACCCTCCGATATGACTAATTACGCACACCAGACACTCCGGACCTCGGTAGAATAATTTGTTTTAGCTGTATATATATCGTCGATCGTTAATACTAACAATGCATTGGGATAAGATTTTGCATAATTATATTAATGCAAAGAATATCAAGTATATATTTAAATAATCAAAATTTTACTACCAAAAAGATAAGTAAAATCAAGTAAACTTTCTTTAGTTTTCTCATATTTTATTTATATAAATATTCAATCCAAAAGACCAATTTTAATTTAAAATCATCAAAAATCGAAAAATTATAGCTGATATCTTAAATTAGATTTCTTTTTATAGAATTAAAACTTAATTGCTTTAACACTATAATTAGAATACAAGAACATGTAACAATACCATGAGTGCACGGTTCTGCGACTTTGGTGATTAGATTTCAGTTTGGAAAAAAAAGAAAAAAAAGAACAATGTCTTTTGTAAATGTTATAAATACTGATATTATATTGACATAACCTGATACAAATGCTGCCTAATTGTTTGAAATATATTTTGGCCCGGAGGCCTTTGATTATGAAATAAAAGAGTTGAGTTGAGGTGAGTAACACTGTTTGCCAAAATACTATTTCAGTATGACCTTGAACTTATACAATAATACACGAATGTACGCTATGAAATAAAGCCAAAACAACTTTAAAAACTAGGTCAATGTATCTTAAATTCACAAATGAAATAATTTTTTAATAAAAAAAAGTTGAAATTTGAAAGGAATATAATGAAAATATAATTTAACAGTATATTTAGAAATATAGCGCAGGATGCTATATCTCTAAACTGACTTGATATTGTGATTTTATTTTTATTATAAAAAAGAAATAAGACTACTATCAGTGTATTTGACCTACGTTGTGAAAAAGCAATCCAATCAAAAACGTTAGGTAGATAACAGGGACTTTCCCTGCAATCTACTGATTGAATGTTGAACTGATAACATAACAAACTAAAAGGACATAAAATGGACTAAAGAAACAATCTAAAAGGTATTTATGTTTATGAAATGAAATATATCGAATAGTATTCGTAAATTGTATTTTCGATGTTAAATCAAAAATAATCTTTTTTTAAAAAAAAGAAATTAGATTTGGCTATATATAAGATTTGTTAGTTAAGCGTTTATAAATGATTAGTCTGGGTGCAAAGTACGTCCTATTACACTGAATACCCTCATGATTCCTGTCTTTTTTCTGATTGTTTTTCGTTTTGTATGAAAACTGGACAATTTGTCAATGAAATGTTACTTTTCGTCATTTACGTGTTTAATCGTGTATGATTCATGTATGTAACCAAAACGGTTATGGATTGTTTACATAATATTGGTGGTGCAGTCGCCATTTTGTATTTTGATATACTATGCATAACTCGTAATTTTGCTACTGCTTAAACCATAACTTTATTGGTCATATATGAAACAAGAATAACATTTCAGTATTCGTGACACTGGTAACAGAGAAAAGTCAAGAATAAATGGTTTATCATTTTAATTTTGCAAACTGCGTGTTTTTCCAGTGTATACATAACATACGTATATGTAAAAAGTACGCCTGATTTAACAATATCTCAAGAGATAGCTATACAAGTACTATATAACATAGCTTATCGGGTCTACCCATTATAAATCAATGGTAAAGATAAATAATTATATATATCTAAAAATGACTAGTATACGAGGGATGATCAAAAATAAACCGGACTGTGACTGTCAATTCGAGAATTTTCAACCTATCACTTATTGTTATATATCACACTTAATCGGAAAACAATACCTGTAAATTGATGCTATATCTAATATGATAACTCAAACAGCTTGTCCGTAACAGCGAATTTAAAAACCATGGTAACGCAAACCCGGCGCAGTGCGTAAATTTACGCTGACATCAGGCACTATATGATGCATATATTTTACAATATGGCACATTTAGATTTCAAAATACGCCAAAACGTCATGAGCTATATCCTTGACGTAGTCAGAAAATATGACTTCATTTCAAATATATTTAAACTTGCAAACACATATCAACCGTCACATGTTAAAGAAATATTTGCGTTAAAACGTTGTCGTCAGAATGTCTCGAAAACGGTCAATAAAAATAGATTTCACAAATAAGGCGACAAACTGTTTAGAACGTAAAAAAATGATTATGGCTAACAAGGAAAAAGTTCCAGGAAGCCACAGCATAGTTTTTGATTAGCATAAATGATTAAAAAGGGTAATAGAGAAATGGAAAACAAGTAAAGGGGCGTCAGAAAGAAGAAATTTTCAACGACGTTGGTGACGTCAATCGCCGAGACGTTGAAAAATGACAGTCAATTGACACGATGTTTGACAGTAGGTACGGGGCGGTTCAGGTTCAGTCAACTATAACTAAGGATCTCTAATTGTTAATGCATTAATTACATATATTACATTCTTAGTTTACAATTGTATTAATTATTTTATTATTTTTCGTAGTAGAGATTTTTCCTATGGAGAAATTCATTCTGTTTAAAATTTAACAGTCACGGTTCAAAATCGGCTATGCGTTTTGTTTATTTAAAATAATGACAATTTTTTTCTTAGTTGTATTATTCTTTAATTTTCTCGTATGGAAGATACATTATCATTCAGCAACATAATATTAATGCAAAATATAATAAAGTTCATTGCATGTGCGATTTGTCCACCAATCAAGTTACAGAAGGAAAGAACGGAAGTTTGCGTCATTACAGGAGCTCTTTATCATCATTCATTCTATTACAATACAATATGATACCGACTTGTAAAGAGATATATAAAGGCGGTGGATCCGCCGCCATCAACAACAATTGGAACACGTATTGGCCTTCTCGAGAATGAGAAAAAGCTGCTCCCTTTAAGACAATACGCTTGTGACGTCGTTTACGTCGATTTTAAAGTAATAACGTGCGCCGCATTGCTTTACATGTTCATGCAAATAACAGCATTACTTTTTAAATTGTCAATATTTTTTTGGTATTTTTTGTATTATTTAGAGGATAGATTCCGATTTATGTTCCGTGTATTTTTATGTAAATGCGTTTTACAGGTAAGGAATCATTAGTTAATGACGGTTAATTTTTGATCATCCCTCGTAACTGATAAACATGTTTCGCGTGGTCTCTTATCAGATAAAGTTTTTGTCAAAATTGTTTAATTTATTATTTGTACAACTTGGCATTTTTATGTTGCGTTTTTATTGTATCATGGAGTATAGGGTGATAACATTTTTCTAGCATACACTATTATTGGTGTATACATTTTTACAACGAGATAAGTTTGCAGGTGTTTTTACTTTTTGATAAAGTCGTGTGCATTTATCTGAATATCATAAAACAAACATTACGTATACGTTGATATCTGAGTTCAAAATTGTGTTTAAATTGTTTAATTATTTAGAAAAAAACCGCGAATGATACACGTATAGCCTTTTAAAAGGACATGCATAGTTAGTTCATAGTTAGACATCATTTGTCCATGCTTAAAAAAATAATTATTAATATAATTGTTGTTTTTCTTCAATGATGAGTATTTCATTTCGAGATCACAAGGAAAACTGAACTCGAATTACATATTTCATTATTCAGGGTGGATGGCATCAAAATATTCATTTAATGCGAGATGGGTTTCATTCGAATGACAGATCTTCAATAAAAATGAACACAGGAAAAAAGATGTATTACTTGCGGATTCAAGTCTTACTGGTCGACGGCGGGACAATGGTTCTCAGAAAAATCTTTGACGAGAAAGCATTTCCTCTGGCAGCATGTCTGAAGCAACACCAGGGAACATTAGCGTTTCTTTCAAAGAGAAACATCATCAACAAACAACAATATTTGTTGATCTCATCCAATGCCCCAACATCAGCAAGTTTTGATATTTCCTTACTATCTTGTTTACTACGGAATATTTGTGGGTTAAAAGGTAGCACCGATCCATGCTGGTCAACATCGCCGGCACCGACTGATTTCTCCATAGAAGCAGACCTGGTGCGTTTCAGGGCATATCGTAATGAGGTAAAACCCCACAATTTCATTTGATACAAAATTTTAGTATAAAATTTATAATTCACTTGTGTACCTAAACTGACTGATACAATGTAACTTTCAGGTGTATGAACAATTTCTAAACACTTACTAGCTTAGGGAAAGTAAATATAATTAATATTATATAAGACAAATGTATTGCATCAAATTTAAATAAAAAGGGATTTCTTTTTAGTTCGCTCATACATCTTCAACATCTGCATTAACAGAAAACGACTTCAACACGAAATGGACAGACATAGTGCAGGTATGATCATTATCATTGTAAATAATTGCAATGTTATATTGCAAAAACTTTTAATAAATACAAGTTAGATGATCATGGGACTTTTCATTGAGAATATAAATGTTTTAGCAGAACATTAAAATACAAATTAAATTAATGAAAATACCAGAGCTGGGCAGAAAGGTGTGAGGTTTGCATTGTATTGTTTAAGTATGCAACGATGATAAATCTAGTGCTTTAAATTAAAAAACTTATGCATATTCGTATTATGAAAAAGTGAGGTCTAAATGAGCCCTGGTTACTATTAAGTCCCTTATCACGCACGACCAGATTTTATATGTCCCTGTGCTTTGCTCATGATGAAGGTAATGAATGGGTGGTTATGATATGATTTTTTTTAATATTCAGTTTATATTCAGTAATTGTATGACGTGTCATTTATGTTGAATGACATTTCATTCATAAATATGTATGAAGAGCTTTAGTCCATCAGCCTCTACACTGATCGTGCTGGAGTTTGTCGCTTTTGTGACGCCCTCCGATATGACTAAATTACGCACACCAAGTACTCCGGACCTCGGTAGAATGTTTTGTTTTAGAGGTATATATACCGTCGAGAGTTAATACTGACAAGGCATTGGGGTAAGATTTTGCATATATTGATTGCACATAATATCAAGTATATCTTTAAAAAATCAAATTTTTACTACCAAAAAAATAAGTTAAATTATGTAAACTTTGTTTAGTCTTCTCATAATTTATAAATTTTTTATCAAAAATACCAGTTTCAAATTAAAATTATCTTAAATTGGATAAATCGAAAACATGTCACGAATATCTTAAATTAGAGTTCTTTTTATAGAACTAAATTCTAATTGCATTAACACTATAATTAGAATACAAGTAAATGTAATAATACTAATAGTTCACGGTGCTGCGACTTTGGGGATCAGTTTTCAATTTGGAAAAAATAAATAAAAGAACAACGTTTTTAGCTGTACTGTACTTGTGCCAAAATACCTTCTCAGTCTAACCGTGAACTTGTACAATAATGTAAAAAAAATACGCAAAAAAACTTTAAAATCAGGTCAATGTGTCTTGAATTAATAAATAAAAATGAAATTTGAAAGGAATATAATGAAAATATAATTATACATTATATTTAGGAATCTAGTGCTCAGGATGATATAACTCTAAACTGACTTGGTATTGTGATTTTATGTTTTAATATAAAAAAGAAATAAGACTACTATCATTGTATTTAACCTACGTTGTATAAAAGCAATCCAATCAAAAACGTTAGAGTAGATAATAGGGGCTTTCCCTGCAATCTACTGATTGAATTTTGAACTGATAAAATAACAAACTAAAAGGACATAAAATGGATTAATCAAACAATCTAAAGGTATTCATGTTTATGAAATGAAATATATCGAATAATATTCGTAAATTGTATTGCACTGTGAAAAAAAAATGCCCTATTTCAAAAAAGAAACCAGATTTTGCTATAGGATTGTTTAGTTAAGCGTTTATAAATGATTAGTCTGTGTGCAATATATATCCTATTACACTGAATACCCTCATGTTTCTTGTCTGTTTTTTTTTCTGATTGTTTTTCGTTTTGTAAGAAAAACTGGCCATTTTTTTAATAAAATGCTACTTTCCGTTATTTCTGTGTTTAAATGTGTATTCACTATGTATGTAACCCAAACGGCTATGGGTTGTTTACATAATATTGACGGTGCAGTCGCCATTTTGTATTTTGAAATATAGTAGTCTGCTTTACCCTATGTATAACATCGTAATTTTGCTACCACTTAAACCACCACTTTATTGGCCATATATGAAACAAGAAAAACAAGAATTCAGAATTCGTGACACTGGTAACAGATAAAAGTTAAGAATAAATGGTTTATCATTTTAATTTTTCAAACTGAATGTCTATTTCCTTTTTGTATTAAACTTAAATGTAGAAAATATGCCAGATTTAACAATATTTCATTAGATAGCTTTACGAGTCTATCTAACATAGCTTATCGGGTGTACCCATGGTAAAGATAAAATATTATATAAATAAAACGAGTATAACTGATGAACATGTTTCGCGTGCTCTCTTATCAGATAAAGCTTTTGTCAAAAAGTAGTTAAACTTTTTATTTGTGCAACTTAGCATTGTTCTGTTGCGTTTTAAAATTTAATCGAGTATAGGGAAATAACATTTTTCTAGCATGTTAAAATATTGGTGTATACATTTTTAAAAAGAGATAATTTTGCAGATATGTTTATTTTTTGATAAAGTCGTCTGCATTTATCTGAATATCATAAAACAAACATTACATACACGTTGATATCTGAGTTCAAAATTGTGTTTAAATTGTTTAATTATTTAGGAAAAAAAACGCAAATGATACACGTATAGCCTTTTAAAAGGACATTCATAGTTCATTTGCATTTGTTCATGCTTAAAAAAATAATTATTTATATAATGGTTGTTTTTCTTCAAGGATGAGTATTTCAATTTGAGATCACAAGGAAAACTGAACTCGATTTCATATTTCATTATTCAGGGTGGATGCCATCAAAATATTCATTTAATGCGAGATGGGTTTCATTCGAATGACAGATCTTTAACAAAAATGAACACAGGAAAAAAGATGTATTACTTGCGGATTCAAGTCTTACTGGTCGACGGCGGGACAATGGTTCTCAGAAAAATCTTTGACGAGAAAGCATCTCCTCTGGCAGCATGTCTGAAGCAACACCAGGGAACATTAGCGTTTCTTTCAAAGAGAAACATCATCAACAAACAACAATATGTGTTGCTGTCATCCAATGCCCCGACATCAGCAAGTTTTGATATTTCCTTGCTATCTTGTTTACTACGGAATATTTGTGGGTTAAAAGGTAGCACCGATCCATGCTGGTCAACACCGCCGGCACCGACTGATTTCTCCATAGAAGCAGACCTGGTGCGTTTCAGGGTCTATCGTAATGAGGTAAAACCCGGAAATTTTATTTTATACATAACTTAGTATAAAATTTATAATTCACTTGTGTACCTAAACTGACTGATACAATGTAACTTTCAGGTGTATGAACAATTTCTAAACACTTACTAGCTTAGGGAAAGTAAATATAATTGATATTATATAAGACAAATGTATTGCATCAAAATTTAAATAAAAAAGGGATTTTTTTTTAGTTCGCTCATACATCTTCAACATCTGCATTAACAGAAAACGACTTCAACATGAAATGGACAGACAATAGTGCAGGTATGATCATTGTCATTGTAAATAATTGCAATGTTATATTGCAAAAACTTTTAATAAACACAAGTTAGATGATGGGATTTTTCATTGAGAATATAAATGTTTTAGCAGAACATTAAAATACAAATTAAATTAATGAAAATCCCAGAGCTGGACAGAAAGGTGTGAGGTTTGCATTGTTTAAGTATGCAACGAGAACTGGCTTTAAATAGACAACTTCAGTGTGACATGGATTATATAAAAAATCGAACAAACAAGTAAAACTTAAATAAAACAGAAAAAGTACATGCATATATCATTATTACGAAACACAAAACCATTCGATGAGAAAATATTTTCAATGTCATTATTTCGACTTATCGTCCAGTAATTTACAAGTCATAAATTTGTTAAAAAATATAAAACTTTCTTTAAATTCAATTCAGCTTTCGTACATAGCCATATATTATATTAACTCATTTAACTGTGAAATAATATCGCTTTACAATAGACATCGACATTGCTGTGCAACCGACATGATCTTATTGAATAGAGAAATAAGAATCCCTAAAGAAAGCCCAAAACGGCAAAATTGAAAATGTTGCAACAGTGCCCGACAAACTTGATAACTTTATAATTATTCTTATGCTACTTACAGGTTCTGATAAGGCTTAATTCTCATCTTCAAAAATGGTGTACCAAATCTTCAATTAGAACTGGACAATATGAAAACAGTCCCACTGGATGAGGAAGCCGAAAAACGCTACCAGCAAGAGATAGATAAATGGCAGCAGATGGACAGTGCACAAACTAGAGCTATAGAAATCATGGCAAACGAAATAAAAGATCTAAGTGCAAACATTGAAACCCTCTCCGTAGAGAACAGGCAACAATGGACAGAAATGTTGGATAAACAGGATGAAGTTATCAAGGAAGTAAAAAACGTTCCTCAAAACAGTAAGTTATACTATCATTTATAGCGGTAAATTACAATACTTAAATTAAAGCCATTTTCAAATGTTTTTACAAATTGAGGTCCACTTCTCATTGTCGTAACTTCACTTTATGAGTGTAATACGAATTTATAAAGACAGATAAAGCAATGAAGTTCCATTTTCGTGCTAATAACTTGTAAGTATAATTATTAACTCATTTGCAGTTATCGGGGATGGACTAAGGAAGTCTTAGCCACATCCCCACCTTAAGACGCTCTGGCATGTTGATTTTTTTTCTATCAAAATATTAACATAAATTAGTAGAATAAAAGTAACACAACTGGCTTACGATATATGTAGCGTCACTATTTACAGCCTGGATTCATATGGAACTTCCCGCCATAAAACAATGTAAGCACAATAAACCTGCATAACTTGAGGCAATTTGCTGTACATGTTTATACATAGTGTCATGCGGACGCTTTTTTTTTTACATCAGTCTTGGTAATTAAGCATCTGCATGATGAATTTATGCGATACTGATTAAACAAGAAAAATTCCTTTTTCAGAACACTTCAGTTCACCTGAACAGAAACATCTTCATGGGTATGACCTTCTTTGTAATATCTGCTATAAAATTAACAGTTTGTATTATTTTCCTAATTGTGCAATATATGTGGTACATGCATTACTGTGTCATGAATAGTGTCAATTTTGTGATTTTGATATTTTGTATAGTTAAAGACTATTTTTTAAATATTTATTTCTCACATCTGTAACAAACTAAATGATCTTTGTGTCCTTCCTAAAAATACTTCATGTTATAAAAAAATGTTATCCTGAAGATCGTCCAAAAACGGCAAATTTAAGAATGATGCAATCTCTGTTAATTGACAGTAGGGTAGGTACAAGCTAATGTTTCGCTAATACCAGCTTAAGCAGAACTGAACATTTAAATATAAAATGGTGGAATGAATCCACAATTCAAACGGCATTGATCATTAAACATTAAATGGTCCATTCCATGAAAAGCGGCCTGAGTGAAATAATGCACGAAGAACGAACTGAACCAAATAAATGATATGCTTAACGTTATATAGAATGCGATCACAAACCACATTTGCCTTTGTCTATAGAGATAATTAATTTATTGTACCTAAATGTGTTTCTTATCATTGGACTGATACATTTTAGATTCATCACAGATGTATTTTGATGATGCGAAAGGCAAAATGGAATATTATGTTAGAACCAATATTTACAAAGAAGCCAGCAAACAACTTCAAACATCAGGAATAGCTATACTTAGTGGTCATCCAGGAGATGGAAAAACTGTAATGGCGAACTGTCTGTTAATGGAAATGGCTAATGAAAGTAAACTCTTAAGGTTAACTAGCCCGGATGATTGGAGATTAGTAGATTTTGATGTTTACACTGCTGTGTTGATTGACGATATATTTGGAAATGCTGTACTGGACGAAACTCTGTTAAAAAAGTGGCAACGTTTCCTTAGTGACATACGAATGGCAGCTAATCAAAAAAAGTTGTCATTTGTGATAACTTCTCGCCATTATATAATGCAAGAAGCAAAAGAAAAACTACATAATCAAGCTGATATGTTCAAAGAGGAAAATGTCACCATTCTATTTTCTTCCAGATTATCATCCGAGGAGAAGTACAAAATTCTGGAATCACATCTTATAAAAAACGAAAGGGAATTTGAAACGAATTCATACATGTATAAATCAATTGAAACACAGTGGAAAAGGGTTACCAGGACATCAAACAAAGTGCTCACTGTTGGATTTCCAGAATGCGCGTCCATGTTTGCATCTTCAGATATTTTGTTCGACAAGGGTATTGAATTCTTTTCCTCCCCTCTCGAGTTTTTCCAAAAATGTATTCAAGACATTTCCAAGGATGAAGACGAATTTATGCCATTGGTTCTCGTTTGGGTGAAGACACCAGGGAAATTTGCGATAAAAGATTTCAATATTGGTGATAACAGAAAACAATTACAGAAGCTAGGAGAAAGAATTTGGGTATCCGTTTCATAAGAAGGCAAAAGAAATAAAGAAATGCTTGGAGAGCCATAGGGACGAATTTCTAGTGTTTAGTACTAAGACAGGTGAATACGCATTCAGTCATAGTGTGATAAGTGATGTAGTCGGAATTGTTTGTGCCAGAGAATATGCTGACGCCATTTTAAAACATGCATCTAAAGATTTTCGTAATGAAATACGTCAAGACCTTACCTTGTTTCAAAGACGACCTGATCATACATATTGAAGAATACCAATTCAATGGGCTCATTGAGAAGTTTAACCAATTGTTACATATGGCAGAAGATGATACACAAGAATTCCTATTTGACAATGATTTCTTCGTTAAACCTCGCGTTAACGGGATCGAAAATACAATAATATGCTCACACTTCCTGATGAACAATTCAGTACTTAAACATGACGCATTCGAAAATAAGGATTTCATAAAAAAGTTTGTCGAAAACTTACGGGTGAAAGGCGGAAAGGATAAACGTGTAAATAAATCACTGGTCTACGCATTTGAAATATTAAAGACTAGATTTTGCATCACGTTTGACCAAAATGAAATGGGAATGTGTCTGCCATCTATCCTTTTGGCAAAGAAAAATGATCTCTTGGTTCAAGAATGTCTAAACAAGTCAGTTCTGAATGAAAATGAAAAATATATATCTTTGCTGTTAGCTACGAGAGATAGAAACAAAGATTTAGTACAGAAACTAGTTCGTCATGGTATGAAAGCAAATGAGGATGCCTTACAGATAGCAACGGTCAATGAAGATTTAGATATGTTAGACTTTTTGTTACAGAACCAGAACGGATCTGATTTCCCTTCACATATTCAACATGGAAATAGTCCATTAATCACAGCAGCTAAAAGAGGTTCTGTCGACCTTGCGGAATGCCTGCTCAGGAGTGGTGTTGATGTCAATTATAGAAACAAGAACAATGTATCTGCTCTCGATAAAGCTGTGATATGGAACCAAGTGGAAATATGCCGCGTGCTTTTAAACCATGGGGCGGTTGTGAATGTAAACGGTGGAAAGTTTCAGCGAACACCTTTGCACATTGCAGCAGACATGGGACATACCGATTTAGTGCAACTATTACTTAACAAGGGGGCAGATGTCAATATACGCGACCATAAAAATGACTATCCGTGTCAATCAGCGGCTGTTCTTGGACATTCCAAAATATTGAAAGAAATTCTTGAAAAAGACATTTATTCCGGAGCTTCACAAATGTCTCATAATTTTAAGCCCATTTCAAAGGGCATGTCTTTGTATCATATAGCTGTAGTTAAAGATAACCAAAGCATATTGCGAGTTCTGAAAGAGGTTGGTGTTGACCCTAACATGAAAGATAAATATGGAAGGACGGCCCTTTATCTTGCAGCAGTAAATGGAAAAACTGCACTCGTTCAGTTGCTTCTCGATGTTGCAGATCCAAATGTATCTGAGAAAAATGGGTATACACCATTGCATGCTGCGGTTTACAAAGAAGATTTGGAGATTGTCCAGCTGCTGAGCAATCGGCAACAAGTGATCGTCAATCTACCAGACAAACGCGGATATACCCCTCTTCACCTTGCATGCAAAACAGCAAATTATGATATCATCGTCGAACTATTGAAGGTGCGGCAAATAGATGTGCGTATGATGACGAAGAAAGGCGAGACAGTTCTACACATACTTAAGGCCTCGACAAGGAGAACAAAAAATGTGTCGAGGTGTGTGGAGGCAATACAACAAACTGACCCTTACTTTGTAGAACAATCTGGGATAGGGGTATCATTTGACAACTATGAGAACGAAAACTAAACATATGCAAATCGCAGGCTCGTGTTTGTGTATATTCGGATGTGCAGCGTATGTCAAGCCCGTAGCTGGGTACATACTTACGGAGTACTCAGTCTTCAACACTTTAAATATTTGTATCATTGATCATGAAGAACCAAACAAATATAAAATACTGTGATTATAAACTATAAATATTGTAAAATTGTTAACGATAAACATTTGTTATTGGTTATCCATTTGTGGAGTTTGAAATTGATTAATTGATGCATCCGAAACATTTTAGATATGCCTCAGAAAAAGTAAATGTATATAAAATTATCAAAGACAGTTGCTAAAAACATACTTTTATAATATCTATTGTTCTTATGCAATGCACGTCTTCTAAATAAGAGCTATCCATTTGTGAAATTTTAGTACAATCTCAGTTCTTTCTTCAGTTGAAATAAGCCCCGAAGAAAATTTAGGTATGAACAATTTCGAAGGGCAACACTAAATTGTGCAAGAGTTATGATTTGTTGTCAAAGATTTGTGGACACTGCTATTTTCACAATGTGATTTAACCACAAATAGAGCTGATACAATTTTAGTTTAATGCCCAAACTTATGACATATGAACGTAAGAAAGGAACATGGCAAATAAATATCTTACAGCTTTCAGAGGGGATAAAAATTGGAGAAAACACATAATACAAATCTTTGAATTTTTATTTTCATGCAAAACAAGAAATTCACAAAATATAGCAAACGTCACATCTTTTGATATTTAAAAATATATTTTAATCAACAAAGTATGATCATCATCATGTGATTAATAACAAGCGTTTAAATTCCATCTAAAATAGAGAAAACTAAGTTCTTCTTACAAATGATAGGACAAAGATACCGTTGACTGTCAATTTCTTGTATACTAGAAACAAAAACTCATCACATATGCATCCAACATAATTATCTGTTAGTTGTAGGTTGATAAAAAGAAATGGCAAAAAAACTAGCTGTTCAATTATGGAATTATTGAAAACATTCATAAAATAACTGGAAACAGCGTATGTGGGCTACTATCAAAATTGAAAAGTTTATCAACACTATTCATCTTAACCTTAAACTTTGATCTTTAGGTAATTTTCCTGAGTTGTAGAGCTAATCATCAATGAACATATCTAACAATTAGTTTTGACAAAAATATTTTACGTATATGTATTTATCGTATTTATCTAAGCATTCAGATCATAAAGCTATATCTTGGCTGTTCCTAATTCTTTTTCGTGAAAGAATTTCGTTCGGTTAAATGAGATGTGTTGCGCATGCGCGGAAACAGTGTTGCAATATGGCGGAACGTTTCAACATTGTTGAAAATATGTAAATTTTTTGTTTTGATCATAGATCAAAGTTTATCGGTGTATATAAAATTAAATTTGCGTGTATTAGCAAGATAAATATTATATTTTATTTTTTGGTGTGTATTTATATAGCATTGTTGTTTATTCGTGGAATAAACTTGTAATAAAATCGAATCGGGCACGTGGTGTCCGGACCGGAGTCAGTTAAAAAAGATTTGTAACTATCGTCGATAGTTTTGTGAACTTTAATTAAAATGTCAACAAAAACCACCGAACGTTGTTCGGTCGAAGATAAAAAGGACAATGAATCCGTTGATTTAACGGGTAAAGACAGAAAAGGTAAACAACCGGTTCTTGGAAAACAAATCACAAAAAAGAGTTCAAAAGAAAAAAGCACGTGTTCTTCAAAAGAAAGTGCATTGACTGAATCGGAAAATGTTTTATTGAACGCTATATCTGCTTTACAAGGCTCAATAAATAAACAATCTGAAAGAATGGGTGCTCAAGAAAAGCAAATCAATGAGCAGAGTAAGCAATTAAAAGAATTTGCCTCCAGGATGTCGTATTTAGAGTATGATGGTGAGGAAGGTTATTATGATGAATGTGAAAATAGTAACTATGATGCTTTATGTGGACAAGAGGATCAATCATATCCTGATGTAAATGAAATGTGTGAAGATGTAAATGATGAGCCTGGTAGGAATGAAGCTTGTAAAAGAAAGGCAGAAAATGATGATAACATTAACAATAATCGATTTAATGAAATGTCTAAACGATTCAAAGCAGCAGAAAATTGTGATCAGAACATTGATTCTGTATTAGCAAGTAATGTTAATGACTTTTTCGAAATGGCATTGACGAAACCAAATATAATGAGATCGTTAAGGATGAAATAACGCCAAGACCAGGAAATTGTGAGAGTCTTGTAGTGGTTCAAACAAATCCATTAATATGGGACTCATTAAGTCCCGTTGCGAGATCTAATGATAAGAAAATGCAGAACATTGAGGCATCTGTAGTTAAATCGGCCACTAAACTGACAAAAGTTGTAAATAAAATGGCAAAATTAGAGACAAAGGTTGAGAGTGATGTGTTCAGTGGGTTGATCGATGAGTGTAATGATGTTTTAGCTTTGCTTGGGCAAGCAAACAAGCAAATTAACTTCACTCGAAAAGATTTCCTAAGGCCGGAACTAAATAAAGAATATAGTCATTTATGTAATCATAATAGACCCTTTACAAAGTATTTGTTCGGGGATGATGTTTCTAGATCAGCGAAAGAAATTGAAGATTGTTCGAAAATAAGCAATCGCATGTTCCAGAACAGATATCAGAGAGGAACATTTATAGGCCGAAGGCGACCAAATAGATTTAATAGAGGTCGTAGTGGTTTTGGTAGAGGAATGATGAGAGGTCGTGGTCAAGTTCAGTCATATGGTGAACCAGTATCTGCCTCAAAAAACTTCCTAAGGCGGGGGTCTCGCCCTTACAGACAGTAAACGAGGTAGGTACAACTTTTATTGCAGGAAGATTAGCAAATTTTATTGATGAATGGCGAAAATTGACTAGTGATAGCTATATTTTAGATATTGTTGAACATTGTCACATAAATCTTGAAGAAGATGAGCTTAAAAATTTAAATAATGCATGCATTCAACACAATTTTAATAAAAAAGAAAAAATGGTTATTCAAAATGAAATTCAGAAATTGCTAAAATTACAAGTTATTGTTGAAGTAGAAGAATGTCAAAATCAAATTTTATCACCTATATTTTTAAGACCAAAAAAGAATGGTGAATACAGAATGGTATTGAACTTAAAACGTTTGAATAATTTTATCCCATACAAACATTTTAAGATGGAAACTTTTGAAAATTCTCTAACACTAATTTCTAAAGATACATATATGGCTTCAGTTGATTTGCGCCATGCATATTATTCCATTAAGATAGCTGAAGAACAGCAAAAATATTTTAGATTTACATGGGAAAATAAGATTTTTCAGTTCACATGTTTGGCAAATGGAGTGAGTGAAGGTCCAAGATTATTTACTAAGTTGCTAAAGCCTGTTTATGCAAAGTTACGAAGTATGGGATATGTTAATTGTGGGTTTATAGATGATAGTCTTCTTTGTGGTGATTCAAAACATGAATGTACACAAAATGTTCTAGCCACAACTAATCTTATGAAAAACATAGGCTTCATGATCAATGAAGAAAAATCAGTATTTATTGCAACAAAGAAAATTCAGTATTTAGGGAACATAATTGATTCGGAAAAAATGATTGTACATTTACCATTGGAAAGACAAGAGTCTATTATTTCAAGCTGCAAAAGTCTTTTAAAAAAGCAAACAGCAACTGTTAGAGAAGTGGCAAAAATTATAGGTTTAATTGTGGCTAGTTTTTTAGCTGTTGAATATGGAAAATTACATTATAGACAATTAGAAATGAACAAAATTTATGCTCTTCAAAAAAGTAAGGGTAATTATGATAGTTTTATGGTAATAACAAATGACATGAAAAAAGAAATGCAATGGTGGATAAAAAATCTTACATTTCAAGTGAGACATATTTTTAAAAAACCTATTGAGGCTGAAATGTACACGGATGCCTCGAGACTTGGATGGGGAGCAAAATTAGACGAATGTAAAATAGGGGGTCGTTGGAATAATACAGAAACAAATTATTATATAAATGCATTGGAATTATTAGCTATATACCATGCTCTAAAGGCTTTTAGAGAAAAATTGCATGATAAACATGTTAAAATATTTTCTGATAATACTACTGAAGTAAATTACATAAATAACATGGGTGGTATTAAATCCCAAATTTGTAATAGTATAAGTGTTGATATATGGACTTGGTGTATACATCATAATATATGGTTAACATGTACATACATAGCAGGTTCTGATAATGTGGAAGCTGATTCAGCTTCAAGATGCTTTAAGGATCATCTTGAATGGAAATTAGATAAAATCATATTTCAAAATATTTGTATTAAATGGGGGAACCCTGATATTGATATGTTTGCTTCACGTTTGAATGCACAATTACCAGTTTATTGTTCTTGGAAACCTGATCCAGATAGCACTTATATAAATGCATTTACTTTAAATTGGAACACATTTAATAATATATATTTTTTCCCACCTTTTAGTTTGATGGGACGGTGCTTGCAGAAAATAATGCAGGAAAAGGCCAAAGGCATTGTTATTGCTCAACTATGGCCCACACAGCCATGGTTCACACGTCTATTGGAATTAATTGTCGATTACCCAGTGATAATTTGCAAAAGGAAAGCACTGCTGACTCTTCCTCATACAAACAAAGAACATCCACTTACGAAAAAACTTCAACTGATTGCATGCAGAGTGTCAGGCAACAGTTTCGAGAACGAGGACTTTCAGAAATGTCTACCGATATTCTCATGTCATCTTGGAAATGAGGCACCAAGAAGCAGTACAGTGTATTCATCAAAAGATGGTTTTGTTTCTGCAGTGAAAGGAAAATCAATCAAATTTCTCCAACTGTGGAAGAAGTAATTGAGTTTTTAACACAACAATTTGAAAATGGATTAAGTTATGACAGTCTAAATACAGCCCGTAGTGCTTTATCATCGTTGGGTTTAAATTTCAACAATTTTAAAATTGGTGCTCATCCACTAGTGATTCGTTATATGAAAGGAATTTTTGCGTTAAGACCACCAAAACCTCGTTATGTCAGCACATGGGATGTAAATGCGGTTTTATTGTATCTTCGTAAATAATCAACGGTTTAACAACTTACACTTAAAGCTTTAACATTGAAACTTTCAATGCTTATGGCCTTAACACGGGCAGCACGCGTCCAGACTTTGCATTTCATTAGTTGTGATCACTTTGAAGGTTAAATCTAAGTTTGTTTTTCAGTTAGCTGATTCTTTGAAACAGAATCGACCTAATTTTAACAGTTCATTTGTTAGTTTCAAAGCTTACCCTCCAGATAGGAGGTTATGTATATATACGGTGATAAAAGAATACTTGTTGCGCACAAGACCTGTGCGGTTAAATGTAGATGAAAAGGATCAAAGATTGTTGATAAGTTATGTTTACAAAACCTTATAAACATGTAAGTAGAGACACTATATCTAGGTGTTTGAAAACAATCATGTTACGTTCTGGAATCGATATAAAGAAATATGGTTCTCATAGTATTAGATCAGCTGCTAGTTCTAAAGCAAAGATTAATTCAGTACCAATTAGTGACATACTAGCCAAAGCAGGGTGGTCGAATGTCAAGACATTTGCCAAGTTTTATGACCGTCCTGTTGAAGGCAATTCTGACAGATTTCAAGAGGGTGTACTCGCCTGATTTGTGAGTAAAATTTTTTCACATTATTGCTTTAAAATCTCATTTAACCGAACGAAATTCTTTCACGAAAAAGAATTTAAAAAATTAAACGAGACTTACCTTGGTTAAGTCGATGTTTGATTTGAATTCTTTGAAGTAAAGAATTGAGTGAGGCTTAAATGCCTCCCACCCACCCTACAAAATGAGGTACAGCAATATTGCTGTATTAAGAATAATTTCAAATATTTGAAGTTTCTATGGAGTTAATAATGGGAAAAAATTCATTAAAAAACTGCTTCCGCGCATGCGCAACACATCTCATTTAAGCCTCACTCAATTCTTTACTTCAAGGAATTCAAATCAAACATCGACTTAACCAAGGTAAGTCTCGTTTAATTTTTTAAATTTTCCTGATGAAAAAATCATTGCTAAACGGCTAAAATCCTACTTAAAACTGAAGAATAGTATATGTTTCCGTAACATTTTATTATGTCTACATATAAAACATAATTATCATACATTCATTTCAGTAAATAACAGAAAAAAATACTTTAAGCTGCACGCCCCCCTAAAGTATTTAAAAATAATTACAATTATAACAGTATTTTCTCTTCCATCTTAGAGTTTACCAAACAAATGAATACTTTTTTTTGTATTGTTTAAGTCCACTTAATTTGAAGAATTTTGAGAACATGCAATTAATTTTCCTAACAAGATATCTGCTGCCGTGGGGGGAGACAGACTGACAGACAAACCCATACAATATGAAAGTTATCTGTCTGTCTGTCAGTCTGACATAAAACTAATCTTGTACAAAATTGCTGATATCTTATTTTTCTTAATTTCAACCAAAAAGGGGACACATATTGCCTTATATTAAGCAATGATTTATGTGTGGTTAATGTCTACAAAAATTCTTAATCAAACCGAGGCTGTAAAATTTTCAGGTTTTTTTTCATATTGGTCAGACTTTAATAATTCTCTTTAACGTTTTCAGTTTTTGTCTGTAAGTGAAACTGTAATAGATATTATAATAGCCCTTTGCTTAATTTTGAGTCAGACCTCAATGGTTCCCGTTTTAAATAATTTACATCTTCAAATATGCAACATTTACAGTTATGTTCCTGTAAGTCAAACATAACTGGTTTCCTTCTCTCTATTTCTTTTTAGTAAATTTCAAATATGAATCATAGTGTGCAGGAGTTACAAAAAATATTTACTTTTCCACAGTAAAACCGATATAGAATTTGACAAGATACACTCAATACATATTGAGGTTTAAGTTACATATTATGCACTTAGTTATGTCAGACTTTGTAACATGTCACCATAATAAATCTTATCACAAATGTTATGCAAACAAACTGGTTGTTTAAACTTTGACACTGTTTAAAGTGACAGTTTGGCCATGCAAGGGTAAAACGTGATTGAACACGTGGAAGTCCAAATAGTTTTGAATTACATGTTGTCATAATTCCTTTTAGTTTTATAATTTGTTTCACATTAACGATACAAAACTTGTGTAACACAGGGAAATTTCTAGAAATATCCATCAAAATTTACCTAATATATTTCATTTATAATAAATATTGGGACAGTCTTTACATTTTTTACATGTAGAAATATTTATACTTTCTCAACATTTTTCACCTGTTGGTGGTCAATCACCGCAATCATTGTCTTAGTGAAATAACAGAAAAAGTCCTTCTAAATTTAAAAGCAGTTAATCAGTTATTGCACTAAGTTGATGCTTAATACCATTATAACAGTCAATCTTTTGAAATATTTAGTTAATTCAGCTATTTAAAACGAAATGTCACTTAAGAACGTACAATACAATACATATGTACACTAGACAGACAATATCGTTATCATTAATGTAAATATATCCTTTCACTTGAAATTTCAAACTGACACTTAAGTTACAAAATACAAGTCTACAATACTATATACAAATCATTAGAAAATATTCTTTTTTATACAAAGAGGTACATAATATATATTCACGGCTTCTATTGTCTTAGCCTAAGAAAACACGTACATTTATATTCTAGTACACTTACATACATAGTGTTACATCATGTGAACATTACACACACATTTATTTTTGACCATTAGTGCACAACAATCACACAGTGTTTACAAAGACAAATATAGTGAAAGCCCTACAGAGTAGCCATCTGTAGAACAATAAATCACCTCTAAACAACAATAATATCAATTATTCCCAATATATGACTTCACAAAATATTTGACCTCTCTACAACACCTCTTAGCAACAACAAAAACATTTTCTCCCAAAAAGTGTTGCCCTGCAGAGATTGTACAGTATGCCAAAGGACAAACACTTTAACCCTCCCCTTCAGTATCTTTTGAGATAACAACTTACAAGCAAAAACCAAAGAGTGGTGGTGATGCCAATGCCAAGGTAAGTACAGTAACTCTCCCTATTCTTTGAATAATGAAGCTTAGAATGTTGTTTCTTATAATAAACAGGCATAAAAAAAATAATCAAAACACTCTCATAATGCTAAATAAGAGAGGTACAATCAAAGGGAAGTTATATATGGAAACTGTTTTACTGGTATCACTTGTCTCCCTTTTCAGAAAAATATCAAGTCGAGTAACTTCTCCATTTACAACTTTGAAAGTCTCTGACACTGAAGCATAACCTTCATACTTGACCTGAAACATATGATATATATATATCAGAGTTTATATTCTTAAAGGCACAGCTGATTCAAGCCTTTAGAAATGCTATCATTTTTTATTTTTCAAAGACTTTTTATTTTTGGTGTCCTGATACCGTTTCCAAAAACTTACTTATTTGTCACACACAGCTCAGACATCTTTCGCTTCTTTTGCGTTTTAGCAGAGTACAATTATAGTAATTTAGTATTTTGTATGGAATTCAAAATACCGTTACCCGTACCAAAAGGAAAGGTTTGCCGTAAACTCGCCGCAACTTTGCCGCAAATTCGCTGCAAACCTTTTAGTTCGCCGAAACACTGTGTCAAGAGTTTGCCAGATATCGCCACTAGTGGCAACTCTGTAGCAAACATTTGGCGACTTTGCGGCAAATTCACCAGAATATTTAGTAGTTCGCCAAAAGTTTGCCAGAAACTTTCAGTGGAAAACTAATTTGCCAGAGATTGCCAGAATCTTTCTATGAAAAAAAATATTCACTGAAAGTTCACCAGAAACTTTTCTATAAAAACAAGTTTGCCAGATAATCGCCACAAACACATCAGTTCTGAAAGTTAATCATCTTTGTTCAGTAAATAACTATTTTGCCAAGGAATTATATTATTATGCACATATAAAAAAAGTCCTTCATGTACCTACCTATATATTACCTACCTACCTACCTACCTACCCAACCCTATTTTAATGGGTCGGGAAGTGGAAACAAACATATTTTTATATTTTTTGCCTAAGAGTTATCAAATTGAAACATCATATGTATCATGGAGGGTATTGTAGTTCACAATAACAGTTTAAAAAATTATAAGGTAGAAGACCCATAATGAAATCGGCAATCTTCGACAATTACCGCCATATCTCGCGATTTATCGTAACGAACTTCGTTTGTTTACGTATAAAGTCGGAATTCTAATAATAGCGGATATCCCCGGTCACGTGGTAGTATTCCCCAAGAAAATGACGTAATTTCCATAGATATCTAACATGGCGTCTTACAGGCGTGATACGCTCGGTCGATTCAAAAAAGTGTAAAAAGATGCAGAAAACCCAAGTATTGCGACTTAATTATAGAACATAACTATCGTGCAGGTAACCAGTATTACGGGTCAACCAAACCAGCTCTACAAAACATCAACTCTTCCTAAATCGGTTGATAATGAGGGTTGGAAAAAGGGAAGAAGAATCGTTGAGACTTGAGTTTGGCGTGTTACGGTCAACCCTAAGATTTTGTAAAAAATGTAGACTTGGACTAGTAGGCTACCATTAACTTTTGACAACATGTTAGGTGAATTTAAACAGGGTGTGTCTGGATATTTGTATGTGAAATGTCGAAACACAGAAATTATGCGGTCATGTGAATTGTGTTCCCTATGGAAAAACACAGACTCTTGTAGTAGTAGATTGAAGACCTGGGAAAGTTGGAATGCCATGTTTCGTTGTCAACACAAAATTAGGACCAGGTAAGCGATTAATGTATTGCATCATACTTTAGATTAACAACAGATTATCAACAGATTATATATAGTTTTATCAAGGTATGCTTCACTTTACTTCATGGCATGTTCGATGAATAAATACGAGCGTGTCAGATTCCTGGCATGATTATTGGTGGACTTTCCCTACGGGGTTATCTTCAGCGTTCATGTCATGTCATAGTATATAAACGGGTACGCTGAAGACCTTAAGCTAACCAGAATGAATATACATTTATCAGTGTTTATCTACTTGTCTTCCAATGATGTAAAATTATGCGGACCAAATTTATGTTTCAGATTTATAAATAATTTATTATACAGAATACATGTGTCTTGTTTGTGTTGAGCTGTAAAACACTACTCCTTATTGTGAAGGAAGTGGCTAGCCGTACGGGCCCGTACGGCTAGCCAAAAGTTCTAGCCGTACGTGACTCACGTACTCCATTTAATTTTGAAAAGTGCCGTACGGCTAGGCAATACAGTGTGTCCTGGCTAGTCGTACATGACTCACGTACGGCTAGAACTTTTGGCTAGCCGTACGGGCCTGTACAGCTAGCCACTTCCTATTGTGAATTTTTTTATAAACTTCCCTCTGAACTGTTTTAATTTCCCCAAAGTCACTGAGAAATTTGAAAAACAAATGATAAAACGTTGCTAAATTAAATCTTGCAACAATGAAATTTTTATTAAGACATTACAGAATCCTACATGTACATTATATAAAAGGCACAGTTTACACTAGGCTGCCAATACCCACAGTCACGGTAATATTCAACATACAATGTACATAAGGCAGCTAAAAATAGCTCTATATAAATTTATGCAATGTGTTATTATCACCGTTATGTAAATTACAATCCATTTGAAGTTTTTTTTGACAAAATATTTGTATACTTTAATGAAATAATTTGTTTCTTTTTCATTTTCTTACAGCAATGATTGATAGTGTAGGTGGGCCGGTGAGGGGAGGGTCAACAATTTGTTGTCAACACTCAATATACCAACAATTGGAAATAAAAACATGAAAAGAAATGGAGAGACGTGTTGGAAATATCATTGAGACAGTGGCTTCTATCTGTCTATGTTGACAGAATCTGCTGCGAAAGATCAAGGAAATTGAGTAAGACACATTTACTATGATATTTTCGAAATAACATGTAATTGAATTGGAAGAATTTGAAAAATTATTTTGTAATTATTATGTCTATGCAGCTTATCATGGTATAATCCTATATTGCTGGTATACTCGTGGTTTAGGGAACCAAAGAATATTATACAATCCATATATATATGAGAAAAGAATTTTTAAACAATGGCTTTGTTGTTTTTGCATGTTACTCTATATTCATGTACATATTTGTTTTTTCAAAATAACATGAATGTGTAATTGTTTTTAAAAAAAAGTATTTATTTCTACATGACAAACTGGGTCCGCCTGGGCTCCTTGCCATTGGTACTTGTTGCTGGGTCATATGGGGGTTGCGTTCATTGAACGTCGCCTTTCCTTGTTGATCTTGTTTATCATATTTTACCTTCATTGGTTTAAGACTAAAATTCTTATTAAATACATGCATTCTTTTTAAGGGATGTGCATCATGAAGAATCAATGGTATCAGAACACAACATCATGGAAGATCTTATTGACAAGATCTTGGAGGATGTCCTTTGCCAGATGCCTCGCCAGCACTAAAGTGAGTACTGGTAGTTTGTTTTCTGTATTTTGTTTATTTAAGAAAGTAAAGGACTATGCAAAACTGACTGGTGTTGTTGAACTGTTTGTGTTATGTCAGTTGCTTCAATATATGAATATCTCTCCATATACTGTTTGTACATATGTATTTTTTTTATTCAAGGTCTATTCTTCAGTCAGATTGCTACAGTTACAAAATGACAGTGAATGGTCAGATTTATACAATTGTGATGAACAATCCTCAACAATACATCAAACAAAAATTGCTATTAAACTGTAAGTTGAAATCTATGAGGTTTTTTTATATATATTTATAATCATGGTGTAGCAATTAAAATGATAATACTGTGATAATTTTGTAATGCTATTTGGGGTCGTCTTCAATAGAAACAATTTGATGTGTCTTCATGTGATGAATAATCGATATGCAGTCCGAATTATTTCATAAAAGTGATTACTAAAATTGGTCAGGAAAAAGTCGTGCAATCAGCATTAATTATAAATAATAATTAACAAAACTAATTCTAGTATGAACATTGTGTTACATTAATTATAAATAAGTTATTGTCAATTCATTGGTGTAGTTTCTCAATATTTGTCAATATTATGTTTAAAGATGAATTTTAAATTACAGAAAATATTTTTGAAATATTTTTACAATTACAGTTCTCACAGACAGTCAAAGGTTGAAAACAAATCAGAAGTGGTCCACATCTTGAAAAACCTCACAGCAGATTAAGACTTTCCCCGAAATTTCCCTGTAAAACCAGCAGTGGTATGTCCAATTCAGTAGATACTGCCTGGCACAAAAGAGGATTTGACAGTTTAACATGTAAGTAAAATAAGATTATTTTTATGCCCCCACAATGTGGGAGCATATAACGTTGCACTTGTCAGTTCGTCCCAAAATCTTGTGAACAAAACTCCTCTTTAACCGGATGGCAGATTTTGCTTAAACTTCCAGGGATTAACAAACTTAATGTGTAGATGGTAATAAAGTAATTTTTGCTGCAACCAAATTTAACAGAATTATGGCCCTTTGTTGATTTTAAGTTTTCAACTTGTGGCACATGTAGTCCAAAAACTATTTGACCTAGAGTCATAAGATTGACAGAACAGTGGCTTGTGGGGGCATCCGTGTCCTATTGACACATTTCTAGTTTTTCTCAGTTATCATGTCAGTAATGATTTAGAATTTGTCAGAAAAGTATCTGTGTATATTTTAACCACTGTCATTGATGTATAATTGAAAAAGTGAGTTTTGCATACAAGTAAGACTGGTTAGTCAACATTGTTCTTTCAAACAGTTCTAAAATCAAGCCAGCACCAGTGTATTGACCAATAAATAATAATTGCCTTTGGTGTTTATTTTCTTCATTTGTAGGTGGGCTTTACTAATAGATTACTGCCACTTTATTTCAAGGTGGGGTTTTGGGGTATCATTCACCTTCAGTGATAGTTCTAGTTTTATTCAGTATAAACATGGTAACATGTAAATGAAAAATAAACCTTCTTTTTTTCAGTGTACTGCATCAATAAACTAAATATGGAGAGTAGCTTAGTCACCAAAGCAGTCAACACCAAAATACACACAATGGCCAGGGCACTGAAACTTGGAAGAGTGAAAGAGTAAAGTAGTGCGTTTTTAGCTTACAAAGTGACATTGCGAGCTTTTTGTCTATCATTCCTCCGTAAACTTGATCTTTAAACAACATCTCATAAATTGCCAAGCCAATTTCATGCAAACTTACAATATTGTCTAGTCAGTTTTTTTTTGCTTGCAATTGTTATATGACATGACTAAAGCCATTTAGTTTTATTCTTCAGTTTTTATGTTTATGTTTGTATAAGACCCAAATATATTGTTAAGATTCATTTTTACACATTTGAAAGCCATTATTATTCTAGTCAGTTTTTGTTTTGCTTGCAATCATTATATGACATGACTAAAGACATTTAGTTTTAATCTTTAATAATTATGTCTATATTTGTATAAGACCCAAAAATATTGTTAAGATTCATTTTTACAATTTTAAAAGCCATTATTGCTCTAGTCTGTTTTTTTTTTTGCTTGCAATCGTTATATGACATGACTAAAGACATTTAGTTTAAATCTTTAGTTATTATGTCTATGAGGGGCGTCCGTGGCCGAGTGATTAAGGTCATTGACTTCAAACCACTTGCCCCTCACCACTGTGGGTTTGGAATCCCGACAGGGACTTTGGATTCTTTCATGTGAGGAAGCTATCCAGCTAGCTTAACTGAACGTCGGTGGTTCTACTCAGATACCCGTTCGTGCCTGAAATGATGCAAGGAAGGGCACCTGAACGTCACGATATGACCTATACTGTGTCGATGTGACGTAAAAACCCAAAACAAACAAACAAAAAAATTATGTCTATGAAAATTAGTTGTTTGTATAAGACCCAAATATATTGTTGTGATTAATTTTAACAATTTTGAAAGCCATAATTGTTCGTGTCAGATATTGTTTTGCTCACAATCATAATGTTATATGGCATGAGTTTAAATCTGAAGGTATTATGTCCATGAAATATGTTGTTTGTATAAGACCAAAATATATTTTTTGAGATTCATTTTTACAATTTTGAAAAAGCCATTATTGGTCTAGTTTGTTTTTGCATAACACATAACGCTATTGTTAGTATTTATTGTTATTAATAGTGATTTGTCTAAGTGGATGTCGAAGTATGTATGTTATTCCATGCCAGTTCATGTTTGAATGAAACTTTTTGTCCAGATAGAAGATTTCAAACTGTAACTTTTCTGATTTTTAGCTTTTACAACAATATTATATTTCCCATTTTTGGTGCTAAGAAATACTGCAACATGTGCTGAATAATAGCTATTGTCAAACATTGTTTTTATGCTCCCCGAAAAAATTTCGGGGAGCATATAGTCATCGGGTTGTCTGTCCGTCTGTCTGTACGTACATACGAACCCGAATTCGTGTCCAGCCCATAACTTTGTTATTTCAAGTTGGATTTTAAAACTATTTCACAGAAATGATCACCATATTGAGACGACGTGTCGCCCGCAACATTTGGGTCGCTACCTTGAAGTTCAAGGTCACACCATGACCTTGAACAAAAATTGTGTCCGGCCAATATCTTGGTTATTTGATGTCGGATTTTACAACTATTTCACAGAAATGATCACCATATTGAGACGATGTGTTGCACACACCATTTGGGTCAATACCTTGAAGGTCAAGGTCGCAACATGACATTGAAGCAAAATGGTGTCCAGCCCATAAATTCGTTATTTGAAGTCGGATTTTACAACTATTTCACCGAAATGATCACCATATTGAGATGATATGTCACACGAAACATTTGGGTCATTACCTTGAAGGTCAAGGTCACAGCATGACCTTGAAGCAAAAATGTGTCTGGCCCATAGCGTCGTTATTTGAAGTGTGATTTTACAACTATTTTGGAATTATGAGACTTTGAACTTTGTCTGGGACATAACCCTGAAACTTCAAAAGATATACTTTTCTGTGTCCAAATCCTAGTCGGGGGAGGATCACCCTGGTTCAATAGGCTCTTGTTTTAATTGATAATTAAGTAATATGAACAATTCATGATAGCATCATAACTAAAGAGAGGAAATTTATGAAAGTCAAATATGTATAGAATCAGTTGCTAATAAAATGTGTGTAAAATTTATCTCTTTTTTTAACTGGGGAATTAATTTCTTTATTTTACAAATTTATCAAATTTCATTTTATTCTACTGATATGTTTGTAATATTTCTTTTATTTTCTATTGAAAAAATGTGTTAAACCAATATGTATTTGTTTTCTTATAATTCAGCTAGTTTTAATTATTCCAATGTTTGAAAAAAATTGTTCGCCAGAACTTTAAAAAAATGTTCGCCAAAATATCGCCAGAACATATTTGCTGAAACTGGCAAATATGCAAATGAAGTTTGCCGCAGTGTTACCAAAAGCTTCTGGCGAACCTCCGCAAACTTACTATGCAAATGAAGTTTGCTGCAAATTTGCCGCAAACTTTTGGCGAACATCTGCAAACTTTTACCATGCAAATGAGGTTTGCAGTAAATTTGCCGCAAACAGAAGCTACCGCCCCCTATAGTTTGCGGCAAATTTGCCGCTAACCTCATTAGTTGCGGCAAATTTGCCGCAAACCTCATTTGCATGGTAAATAATTGCTGAAAGCAGTTTACCGCAAACTCACCGCAATGTTTGCGGCAAACTTGCCGCAATGTTCACCAGAGAGCCTTTTTTTTGGTAAGGGTTAGGTTTATTTCCGGCCCGGATGATATTTTTCCGGCCCAGACATTTCAAGCATTATTTTATAATAACTCGGTTGAATGTAAAAATGATTGTCTTTCTTTAAATTAGTGAGACCATCAATATAGAAACATAAGAAGATGCTGACCAATTGAAATAACTTAAGCAGGGTTCTCACTAGGATTTTCAAAGGAGGAGTCCTTGGACTCCCAAGCACAGAAAAGTAGGAGCACAGTTCACGTTGAATATGTTAAGCCATCTTTGCTGCACTTATGCAGTTGACAAATATGATGTATATTAGCAGAGTAAGCTAGGGGTTGGAGAGTCGGAGTTTGAACAGAGAATTAAAAAGCTTATTCAGGAAAATGGTAGTAGATCTATGTCCCAAATGAAATACACTGTACCATAAAAGTGATTGAAAAAATTTCAAGAACTCTACATCATCAGACCATTATGCTGTTTTCTTCCAGATTCACTCCACACACCCCCCTCCCATAAGAAAATATTCATTGTAATATGACAAACACATACTGGTAATGGCTCCATCTCAACTAATGTGAACAATATCTTTAGTAATTTTAATTCTTAAACTACATTAAAGTGTTATTACACACATTTTAACAAAACAAAGTTTCCTTTTGGTTACGATTTTTTTAATTATAAAAAGCGGCATCGCGAAAATATGTGACAATTGAAAATTTGTCTGTTTCCTGCAGAAACATTCACAATTCTACTTGTTGTTGGTTTTGATTACATTAGATTAAATATTTTTTGATTATTTTAAGATTGTTACTCATCGGCTATTTCAACAGGCATCATAAAACAAAATTTTCAAATCTGTAATTTACGGCAAAATTTACCGTTGTTGATGAAACTTTTTGAAGACAGAGTTGACTGGTATTTATTTGACAGGTACAAAATAGATCTAAGGTTGGTCAATATCTTCTTTAATAAATTCTTTGCATCACCGGGAACTTGTTATCAATCAGGTCATTGATATTTTAACTTTTTGAAATTTTATTCGGACATGAGGACTGACGGAAAGGAATCTTTCTCGGACCGCATGATTTTTATTCAGCCAGGACCGAGGACCGACGGACTTTCGCACAGACTGTTGTTGCAAGATTTAATTTAGCAACGTTTTATCATTTGTTTTTCAAATTTCTCAGTGACTTTGGGGAAATTAAAACAGTTCAGAGGGAAGTTTATAAAACATTTCACAATAGGAAGTGGCTAGCCGTACGGCTAGCCAAAAGTTCTAGCCGTACGTGAGTCACGTACGACTAGCCAGGACACACTGTATTGGCTAGCCGTACGGCACTTTTCAAAATTATATGGAGTATATGAGTCACGTACGGCTAGAACTTTTGGCTAGCCACTTCTTTCACAATAAGGAGTAGTTTTTTACAGCTCAACACAAACAAGATACATGTATTCTGTATAATAAATTAATTATTTATAAATCTGAAACATAAATTTGGTCCGCATAATTTTACATGTTTGACATGATGTCACATCATTGGAAGACAAGTAAATAAACACTGATAAATCATAATGTATCGATATATTCATTTTGGTACGAGACCTTACATCTATGAATTCATTATCAGTATATAGTACTTAATGTAAACTATGATGCAATACATTAATCACTTACCTGTTCCTAATTTTGTGTTGACAACGAAACATGGCATTCCAACTTTCACAGGTCTTCAATCTACTAGAGTCTGTGTGTTTTTCCATAGGGAACACAATTCACATGACCGCATTCTGTGTTTCGACATTTCACATACAAATAACCAGACACTCCCTGTTTAAATTCACCTAACATGTTGTCAAAAGTTAATCAGTGCTGTTAATGGTAGCCAACTGGTCCAAGTCTACATTTTTTACAAAATCTTAGGTTTGACCGTAACACGCCAAACTCAACGATTCTTCTTCCCTCTTTCCAACCCTCATTATCAACCGATTAAGGAAGAGTTGATGTCTTGTAGAGCTGGTTTGGTTGACACGTAATACTGGTTACCTGCACTATAGTTATGTTCTATAATAAAGTCGGAATACTTGAGTTTTCTGCATCTTTTTACAATTTTTTTTAATCGACCGAGCGTATCACGCTGTAAGACGCCATGTTAGATATCTGCGGAAATTACGTCATTTTCTTGGGGAATACTACCACGTGACCGGGGATATTCGCTATTTTTAGAATTCCGACTTTATACGTAAACAAACGAAGTTCGTTACGATAAATCGCGAGATATGGCGGTAATTGTCAAAGATTGCCGATTTCATTATGGGTCTTCTACCTTATAATTTTTTAACTGTTATTGTGAACTACAATACCCTCCATGATACATATGATGTTTCAATTTGATAACTCTTAGGCAAAAAATAAAAATTTGTTTGTTTCCACTTCCCGACCCATTAAAATAAGGTTGGGTAGGTAGGTAGGTAGGTTATAGCACGGACTTTAATTGACATTTAAATCCGTGGTTATAGGTAGGTAAATGAAGGACTTTTTTTATATGTGCATAATAATATAATTCCTTGGCAAAATAGTTATTTACTGAACAAAGTTGGATTAACTTTCAGAACTGATATGTTTGTGGCGATTATCTGGCAAACTTGTTTTTATAGAAAAGTTTCTGGTGAACTTTCAGCGAATATTTTTTTTTGATAGAAAGATTCTGGCAATCTCTGGCAAATTAGTTTTCCACTGAAAGTTTCTGGCAAACTTTTGGCGAACAACTAAATATTCTGGTGAATTCGCCGCAAAGTCGCCAAATGTTTGCCACAGAGTTGCCACTAGTGGCGATATCTGGCAAACACTTGACACAGTGTTTTGGCGAACTAAAAGGTTTGCAGCGAATTTGCGGCAAAGTTGCGGCGAATTTACGGCAAACCTTTCCTTTTGGTACGGGTCCCTCGTATTTCACAATGCAGCGTTCTGTTACAGAAGAGCAAACTACTAGTATAACTACATATGAGCCGCGTCACGACAAAACCAACATAGTCATGATAGTGGGTTTGCAACCAACATGGATCCAGACCAGCCTGCGCATCCGCGTAGTCTGATCAGGATCCATGCTGTTCGCTTACCAACTCTATAACAAGTAGAGAAACTGATAGCGAACAGCAAGGATCCTGATCAGACTGCGCGTGCTGGTCTGGATCCATGCTGGTCGCAAACGCACAATGTTGGTTTTGTCGTGACACGGTTCATATAAAGTGTTCGGGCAAGAGGAATTGATGACGTTGATAAAGTAGACTTTGACATGCAGGTAACGACAGAGTGACCAAACGTTGACGTTGATGTGACCAATTTTGGGACCAAACATTTTCATTATTTACAAACAGACATATTCATTATATTTTTGAACAAAAATATTAATTTGCAAGACATGTGTTATTTAGAAATACTTGGCAAATAGATAAATCTAGTGATTTTAATTAAAAAACTTATGCATATTAGTATTATGAAAAAAGTGAGGTCTTAATGAGCCCTGGGTACTACTAAGTCCCCTATCACGCACGACCAGATTATTATATTCCTGTGCTTCGCTCATGCATAGTATATGTAATGAGGGTAATGATCGGGCAATAATGATATGTACCTTTTATTTTTATTATAATATTCAGTTTATATTCAGTACTTTTGTGAACTATAATGCACAAATACGTATGAAGAGCTTACCCATCTGTCTCTACAATGATCGTGCTGGAGTTAGTCGCTTTTTGTGACACCCTCCGATATGACTAAATTACGCACACCAAGTACTCCGGACCTCGGTAGAATAATTTGTTTTAGCTGTATATATATCGTCGATCGTTAATACTAACAATGCATTGGGGTAAGATTTTGCATATATTGATTGCACATAATATCAAGTATATCTTTAAAAAATCAAATTTTTTCTACTAAAAAGATAAGTTAAATTATGTAAACTTTGTTTAGTCTTCTCATAATATATAAATTTTTTATCAAAAATACCAGTTTCAATTTAAAATTATCTTAAATTGGATAAATCGAAAACATGTCACGAATATCTTAATTTAGAGTTCTTTTTATAGAACTAAATTCTAATTGCATTAACACTATAATTAGAATACAAGTAAATGTAATAATACTAATAGTTCACGGTGCTGCGACTTTTGGGATCAGATTTCAATTTGGAAAAAAAATAAATAAAAGAACAACGTTTTTAGCTGTACTGTACTTGTGCCAAAATACCTTTTCAGTCTAACCGTGAACTTGTTCAATAATGTAAAAAAAATACGCAAGAAAACTTTAAAATCAGGTCAATGTGTCTTGAATTCACAATATGAAATAGCTTTTTTAATAAATAAAAAATGAATTTGGAAGGAATATAATAAAAATATAATTTAACAGTATGTTTAGAAATATAGTGCAGGATATTATATCTCTAAGCTGACTTGATATTGTGATTTTATGTTTAATTATAAAAAAGAAATAAGACTTCTATCAGTGTATGTAACCTGCGGTGTAAAAAAGCAATCCAATCAAAAACGTTCGGTAGATAATAGGGGCTTTCCCTGCAATCTACTGATTGAATGTTGAATTGATAAAATAACAAACTAAAAGGACATAAAATGGATTAATCAAACAATCTAAAGGTATTTATGTTTGTGAAATGAAATATATCGAATAATATTCGTAAATTGTATTGCACTGTGAAATGAAAAATGCCCCATATCAAAAAAGAAACTAGATTTTGCTATAGGATTGTTTAGTTAAGCGTTTATAAATGATTAGTTTGTGTGCAATGTATATCCTATTACACTGAATACCCTCATGTTTCTTGTCTGTTTTTGCTGATTGTTTTTCGTTTTGTAAGAAAAACTGGACATTGTTTTAATAAAATGCTACTTTCCGTTATTTCTGTCCAAACGGCTATTGGTTGTTTACATAATATTGACGGTGCAGTCGCCATTTTGTATTTTGAAATAGTAGTCTGCTTTACCCTATGTATAACATCGTAATTTTGCTACCACTTAAACCACCACTTTATTGGCCATATATGAAACAAGAAAAACAAGAATTCAGTATTCGTGACACTGGTAACAGATAAAAGTTAAGAATAAATGGTTTATCATTTTAATTTTGCAAACTGAATGTCTATTTCCTAGCTGTTTGTATTAAACTTAAATGTAGAAAATATGCCAGATTTAACAATATTTCATTAGATAGCTTTACGAGTCTATCTAACATAGCTTATCGGGTGTACCCATGGTAAAGATAAAATATTATATAAATAAAACTAGTATAACTGATTAACATGTTTCGCATGCTCTCTTATCAGATAAAGCGTATGTAAAAAATTGTTTAACTTTTTATTTGTGCAACTTAGCATTGCTCTGTTGCGTTTTAAAATTTAATCGAGTATAGGGAAATAACATTTTTCTAGCATGTTAAAATATTGGTGTATACATTTTTAAAAAGAGATAATTTTGCAGATATGTTTATTTTTTGATAAAGTCGTCTGCATTTATCTGATTAATATCATAAAACAAACATTACATACACGTTGATATCTGAGTTCAAAATTGTGTTTAAATTGTTTAATTATTGAGGAAAAAACGCAAATGATACACGTTTAGCCTTTTAAAAGGACATGCTTAGTTCTTTTGCATTTGTTCATGCTTAAAAAAATAATTATTTATATAATTGTTGTTTTTCTTCAATGATGAGTATTTCAATTTGAGATCACAAGGAAAACTGAACTCGATTTCATATTTCATTATTCAGGGTGGATGCCATCAAAATATTCATTTAATGCGAGATGGGTTTCATTCGAATGACAGATCTTTAACAAAAATGAACACAGGAAAAAAGATGTATTACTTGCGGATTCAAGTCTTACTGGTCGACGGCGGGGCAATGGTTCTCAGAAAAAGCTTTGACGAGAAAGCATCTCCTTTGGCAGCATGTCTGAAGCAACACCAGGGAACATTAGCGTTTCTTTCAAAGAGAAACATCATCAACAAACAACAATATTTGTTGATCTCATCCAATGCCCCAACATCAGCAAGTTTTGATATTTCCTTACTATCTTGTTTACTAAGGAATATTTGTGGGTTGCAAAAAAGCAACGATCCATGCTGGTCAGCACCGCCAGCACCGACTGATACCTCCATTGAAGCAGACCTAGTGCGTTTCAAGGCATATCGTAATGAGGTAAAACCCCAAAATTTCTTTTGATACAAGACTTTAGTAAAAACTTTATAATTCACTTGTGTACTTAAACTGACGAATACAATGTAACTTTCAGGTGAATGAACAATTTCAAATCACTTACTAGCTTAGGGAAAGTAAAATTAATATAATTAATATTTTATAAGACAAATGTATTGCATTTAATTTAAATAAAAAGGGATTTTTTCCAGTTTGCTCATACATCTTCAACATCTACATTAACAGAAAACGACTTCAACACGAAATGGACAGACATAGTGCAGGTATGATCGTTATCATTGTAAATAATTGCAATGTTATATTGCAAAAACTTTTAATAAATACAAGTTAGATGATGGGACATTTTATTGGGAATATCAATATTTTAGCAGAACATTAAAATATAAATTAAATTGATGAAAATCCCAGAGCTGGACAGAAAGGTGTGAGGTTTGCATTGTTAAGTATTCAACGGAAACTGGCTTTAAATGAACAACTTCAGAAAAATCAAACAAAACAAGTAAAACAGAAAAAAGCACATGCATATATCATTATTACGAGACACAAAACCTTTCGATGGGAAAATACTAGTATTTTCAATGTCATTATTTCGACTTATCGTCCAGTAATTTACAAGGAAATGAATCTCGTCATAAATTTGTTACAAAATATAATACTTACTTTCAATTAAATTCAGCTTTCGTACATAGCCATATATTATATTTACTCATTTAACTGTGAAATAATATCGCTTTACAATAGACTATCGACATTGCTGTGCTACCGACATGATCTTATAGAATAGAGAAAATAAGAATCCCTAAAGGAAGCCCAAAACGGCAAAATTGAAATAGTTGCAACAGTATCTAACGAGTATGATAACTTGATAATGATTCTAATTACAGGTTCTGATAAGGCTAAATTCTCATCTTCAAAACGGTATACCAAATCTTCAATTAGAACTAGACAATATGAAAACAGCCCCACTTGATGAGGAAGCCGATAAACGCTACCAGCAAGAGATAGATCAATGGCATCAGATGGACAGTGCACAAACTAGAGATATAGAGATAATATCAAACGAAATAAAAGATCTTAATACAAACATTGAGACCCTATCCTTAGAGAACAGGCAACAACGGGTAGAAATGTCGGATAAACATGATGAAGTTTTAAAGCATGTTAAAAGTATTCCCAAAAACAGTAAGTTATACTATCAAGTGAAAAACATTGTTGTAGCTCCACTTCACGAGTGTTATATGAATTCATAAAAACAGAAAATGCCATAAAATTCCATGCTCATGCTGATAACGCGTTAATATAGTTATCAGGCGCGGTTCATTTTGGCATGGGGTAAAGCCACCTCCCTACCCAAAGACGCTCTGGCATGTTGATTTTTTTCTATCAAAATATTAACATTAATAGTAGAATAACAGTAAAACGTGCTTACGATAAATGTAGCATTAATATTTGCAGGAACTTCCCGTCATAAAATAATGTATTACAAAGCATCTTGAGTAAATTTTTGCGGTACATACTATGATGATCATGCAGTCGTTTTCTTTACATTTGTCTTGGTCGGTGTAGATGCAGAATAAAGCATCTACATGATGAAATACGCGATATTGATTAATAGAAATATACTTTTAAGTTTCAGAACACTTCAGTTTGAGGATGACACCTGAACAGAAAAATCTTTATGGTATGGCTTTCTTGAAATATTTTCTATAAAATGTTATGTTTAAATTTTCTTAATCGAGCATATATGTGAAGAGTAGTCGTGTTATTTGTGTGATAACGATATCATTCTTGTTTTGAAAGAGTAGTCTCTTAGATATTTTATTATGACAACTACAACAAATTGAATGATCTATTGTCCTTCCTAATAATACGTCTTGTCTAAGAAAAAATGTAATCCTAAAGATCGTCCAAAAACGGCAAAATTGTAAAATTTAATGATGCAATCTCTGTTAAGGGACGGTAGGGGTAGGTACAAGATAATGTTCGCTCCTCCTTATACCAGCTTAAGCAGAACTAGCCAATTTAACATGTAAATGGTGAAATGAATCTACAGTTCAAACGGCATCGATCATTGAGCCTTAACTGGTCTATTCCACATAAAGCGGTGTACGATCCCTAAGTGAAATAATGCATGAAGAACGAATTGAACTAAATAAATGATACTTTTTAGGGTATAAAGACTATGCTCACAACACGAAATTGCCTTTGTCTATAGATATAATTAATTTATTGTACCTAAATGTGTTTCTTATCATTGGACTGATACATTTTAGATTCATCACAGATGTATTTTGATGATGCGAAAGGCAATATGGAATATTATGTTAGAACCAATATTTACACAGAAGCCAGCAAACAACTTAAAACATCAGGAATAGCTATACTTAGTGGTCATCCAGGAGATGGAAAAACTGTAATGGCGAACTGTCTGTTAATGGACATGGCTCATGAAAGTAAACTCTTACGGTTAACTAGCCCGGATGATTGGAGATTAGTAGATTTAGGTGTTTACACTGCTGTGTTGATTGACGATATATTTGGAAATGCTGTTCTAGACGAAAATCTGTTAAAAAAGTGGGAAGTTTTCCTTATTGACATACGTAATGCAGCCAATCAAAGAAAGTTGTCATTTGTGATAACTACTCGCCATTATATAATGCAAGAAGCAAATGAAAAACTGCAGAATCGAGCTGATATGTTCAATGGGAAAAATGTCACCATTCTATTTTCTTCCAGATTAACCCCAGAGGAGAAGTATTAAATTCTGAAAGCACATCTTATGAAAAACAAAAGGAAAATTGAAACGAATTCATACATGCATGAATCCATTGAAACACGGTGGGAAAGGGTTACCAGGACATCAAACAAAGTTCTTACTGTTGGATTTCCAGAATGCGCGTCCATGTTTGCATCTTCAGACATTTTGTTCGACAAAGGTATTGAATTCTTTTCCTCCCCTCTTGAGTTTTTTCAGAATTGTATTCAAGATATTTCTAAGGATGAAGACAAATTTATGCCATTGGTTCTTGTTTGGGTGAAGACACCAGGGAAACTTGCGATAAACAATTTCAATATTGGTGATAACAGAAAACAATTACAGAAGCTAGGAGAAGAATTTGGGTATCCGTTTCATAAGAAGGCAAAAGAAATAAAGAAATGCTTGGAGAGCCATAGGGACGAATTTCTAGTGTTTAGTACTAAGACAGGTGAATACTCGTTCAGTCATAGTGTGATAAGTGATGTAGTCGGAATTGTTTGTGCCAGAGAATATGCTGATGCCATTATAAAGCATGCATCTAAAGATTTCTTAATGAAATACGTCAAGACCACCCTACCTTGTTTCAAAGACGACCTGATCATACATATTGAAGAATACCAATTCAATGGGCTCATTGAGAAGTTTAACCAGTTGTTACATATGACAGAAGATGATACACAAGACTTCCCATTTGACAATGATTTCTTTATTAAACCTCGCGTTAAATGTGGCGGGATCGGTAACACAAGAATATGCTCACACTTCCTGATGAGCAATTCAGTACTTAAACATGACGCATTCGAAAATAAGGATTTCATTAAAAAGTTTGTCGAAAACTTACGGGTGAAAGGAGGAAAGGATAAACGTGTAAATAAAACACTGGTCTACGCATTTGAAATATTAAAGACTAGATTTTGCATCACGTTTGACCAAAATGAAATGGGAATGTGTCTGCCATCTATCCTTTTGGCAAGGAGAAATGATCTTTTGGTTCAAGAATGTCTAAACAGGTCAGTTCTGAATGAAAATGAAAAATATATATCTTTGCTTCTAGCTACGAGAGATAGAAACAAAAATTTAGTACAGAAACTAGTTCGTCATGGTATGGGAGCAAATGAAGATGCCTTACAAATAGCAACGGTCAATGAAGATTTAGAAATGTTAGAATTTTTGTTACAGAACCAGAACGGATCTGATTTCCCTTCACATATTCAACATGGAAATAGTCCATTAATCACAGCAGCTAAAAGAGGTTCTGTCGACCTTGCTAAATGCCTGCTCAGGAGTGGTGTTGATGTCAATTATAGAAACAAGAATAATGTATCTGCTCTTGATAAAGCTGTGATATGGAACCAAGTGGAAATGTGCCGCGTGCTTTTAAACCATGGGGCGGTTGTGAATGTAAACGGTGGAAAGTTTCAGCGAACACCTTTGCACATTGCAGCAGACATGGGGCATACCGATTTAGTGCAACTATTACTTAACAATGGGGCAGATGTCAACATACGCGACCATAAAAATGACTATCCGTGTCAATCAGCGGCTGTTCTTGGACATTCCAAAATATTGAAAGAAATTCTTGAAAAGGACATTTCTTCCGGAGCTTCACAAATGTCTCATAATTTTAAGCCCATTTCAAAAGGCATGTCTTTGTATCATATAGCTGTAGTTAAAGATAACCAAAACATATTTCGAGTTCTGAAAGAGGTTGGTGTTGACCCTAATATGAAAGATAAATATGGAAGGACATCCCTCTATCTTGCAGCAGTATATGGAAAAACTGCACTCGTTCAATTGCTTCTGGATGTTGCAGATCCAAATTTATCTGAGAAAAATGGGTATACACCATTACATGCTGCGGTTTATAAAGCAGAATTGGAGATTGTCCAGCTACTGTGTCAGCGGCAACAAGTTATCGTCAATCAAGCAGACAAACGCGGATACACCCCTCTTCACCTTGCATGCAAAACAGCAAATTATGATATCATCGCCGAACTACTGAAGGTGCGGCAAGTAGATGTACGTATGGTGACAAAGAAAGGCGAGACAGTTATAAACCTACTTAAAGCCTCGACTATAAGAACCAAAAATTTGTCAAAGTGTTTGGAGGCAATACAACAATCTGACCCTTACTTTGTAGAACAATCTGGGATAGGGATAGCCTTCGACAACTATGAGAACGAAAACTAAAAACAAAAATGAAAATCGCAAGCTCGGGTTTTTTGTCTGTTCCAATGTGAAACATCTTTTATGCCTCTAGCTGAGCGGAGTATTCAGTCTTCAACACTTCAAAGATTGGTGTGAATGATCCTGAAGGATCAAACGATTATTAATTTTTTTTAAATAGTCAACGATAAACATTTGTTATTTGACATACTGGTAACTACATTCATTAGATGTTGCTCTTTTTAGCAGGCATTGTTATCATTATTTGATATGTTTCAAGTTGATGCTTCTATTTCATCTTCAGTTTGTTTCTGGTAGAAATAAAATTGAAATGTAATGTAATTTTAAATACAAATTTTATATGTAATATGTTACGTACGTAATTCCAAAATGAAAAGGTAAAAACTTCCTAAAAATGATGTACCATCAATAAAGTTTAAAGTAAATATTTGCTGTCTTTTAAAGTATATCCAAAACAAACATTAAAGGACAATAACTGCAAAATGAGACAATAGTAACTGTTATTCTTCTTGTGCGCTGTACCTTTAGGCAATTCGACCCATCTTCGGTGTTTGAAATTGATACATCCAAAATATTTTAGATATGCCAAAGAAAAAATACCAAGGACACTGGCTTAACAAGAGGTATGTTTAAAAAAGATATACGGCCAAAGAAAAACTGGTTAACCTACATATGTTATTTCTTGAGTTTAAATGTAATGTAATTTTAAATGTCAATGCAAATTTTAAATGTAATATGTATATAAGTATATTGATGTCTCTTCAAAGGACGATTTCTATTTTAAAGTTATTTATTTTGGTGTCGCAATAAATTGTTTTTACGTTTGACTTTATTAATTTTGTAATCATAGGCAATATTAACAATATTATTAAAAGAATCACATATGAGAACAAGGGGGCAATAATGGCTCTAAATCGCTCAAATGAGTCAGAATAATTTGACTCTTTTAAAAGAAGAGTTTTCTTTTGTTTTCACTATATGCATGTAAGGAAAATCCATGACCACCCCCGCGGGCAGGGCCAATTTTGACCCAAGGGCTTTTATTTGAACAAACTTGGTAGACACTCACTTAAAGTTGTTTTATGACGCCGGCCGGACGCCGAACGAAAAGCGATCACAAACGCTCACCATATCACTTTGTTTTCATTTATAATGAAGAAAGGAACAATTACTAGCTGATTGGTAGACGCCAATTTCCCTGAGTTGATGGCAACACCTCAGAAGTAGGAACTTTAGGATTCAGGCACATCCGGAATCACTTAGGCTCGGTTTAAATGCCAACGCCTGTTCGTTATAATGTCACGATCTAGGCATGTGACGTTGCTGTTATCGCTGAATTTATATACTTGGTTATATCACTTAATCAAATATGTCACGATTTGGACACGTGACGTTGCTAACGATGTTGGCTATGTAATGGATTATATAAAACTATACATATTATACATCACAAAGGAGAAAGTCGTAGTTAAGTTTAAAACCTTTAATAAAGCACTGAGCTCAAATTTAGATCAATATTTTAACAGGAAATATTTCAAACACATGAAATCAATTTAAAATATTCTCCAAGATTGATTATGTAATCAGGCAATTCAAACAAGAAAAGTTCAATCTTTATTACATATTACCAATTGTAACTATAAACTATGTGTTTTGCATAAGAAATATGACTTAAATCTTGTGTTAACAATGCTGTTGTTGTGATCGTCAGTGACCAGCCACCTCGGAAGAGTTCAACCATCTGCAACAAGATCACCTTCATCGTCTTCGTAGAGGCCCAGGCTGTCATCTGGGTTACCATCGGGTGTTCCCGTATTCTGACCCGCACCCATGGCGCTGTCACTTCCTGACTGAGTTGAGCCATATCTTCGTCTCCTACACAATAAGGTTCTGAGGCCAGAACGTCCCATCGCTGCCACCTACAACACAACATGTCAAGAATTAATGAAATGTACCTAATGTCAAAGTTCCAAGGTAACTGTAAATAGTATTACCTGAAAGAACTCTTCAAAAACATATTATATGACCTGCATGAAAAACTACTTTCAAAACTCTTGTAATTCGCCTATAGCAATACGGTTCTATATTTCTCTGAGTATTTCATTGAAAGCAAAACGAAAACTCAGACAGGTCTTTTATCTTTCAAAATGCAAGGAACCTAAGAATTATAAAGTATGTATGTATGTATGTATGTATGTATGTATGTATGTATGTATGTATGTATGTATGTATGTATGTATGTATGTATGTATGTATGTATGTATGTATGTAATGAGGGTCCTTTCGCCCTATCAGGCACTGAGAGTACGGACCACGGACATGTTAACATTCATGTCCTTAAATGGTACTATCAACGAAAAGGTCACCTATAAATTTTGAATTCAGTAATTCACTGAATGATTCTAAATATCTATGCAAGTCGTTTTTTGTGATTATATATTTTTGATGCACGGGAGACCAATGAGACCATCGTATGCATCAGGGAGAAAAATGAATGATGAGCTTGACTTACCGAAGATTATACAACTCGGACTGATACCGGACACACACTTTCCGTATGCACGACCGACACCATCATTCATTCCTAAAACGCATTTTTAAGATGATTTTCCACTAAACTTCTCCTTTTATTTACTTCTTATTTAAGCACCCAACTGCACGTTATACTCTTAAAGAGGAATTATGCGTTATATAGAGATTATTAATCGTATTACGTTTAAAGTAGTATATGTTAGTGATAAACATTAGATAATTTTGGACACAATTTATGCCATTCAAATTCAGATACACAATATTCGATATAGCTTCATTTCTTGCTTTTCAAGAACCCAAATACTGACAAGAAAGCGCTTGAAATGCTTAGGAAATTAGGCCAGGAGGAACATACAAGTAAACGCCTCGAAT